TAGGTCCAGGTCCAGATATAGGTCCAGGTCCAGATATAGGTCCAGGTATAGGTCCAGGTCCAGATATAGGTCCAGGTATACCTGATAGACAAAAACATGTTAATGATGGAAAAAATAATTACAAATACAAAACAGGTTGAGCAGAGTAAGTAAAGACAGTAGCAGAGTGAAAAGTGTGGTCAGTTTGTCCTCCAGCAGTCTAAGCCTATAGCAGCAGAACTAAGGGACAGCTCAGGAAACCCAAGCCGACCCTAACTATAGGATTTATGAAAAAGGAAAGTCTTAAAACTGGACAATGTGTCAGCCTCATGGACAGAAACTGGAAGTTTGTTCCACAAGAGAGGAGCCTGAGAACTGAAGGATCTTCTTCCATTCTTCTTTTTAAATTCTAGCTCTTGTGGCTATTTATGTTGAATTTTTGTAAATCGTAAGTTCTATCAATTTAGTTTATCCATGGTCAGTTAAAATATATTTTAATTAACTTGGAATCAAAATCTGCAATTAATTTTTATTATGGAATTGTTTAGATTTGTTTGGTAGCTTTTGGCCCCGCCCATTACTTAAAGAGATTAAGAACACACCAGAGGAGTGGAGAAGTCTTTTGTTTGTCAAATGTCCTGAGTGATGATGGGGCTTCTAGAATGATTTTTTGACCACTTTTGAACTTGTAAGATGAGTTTAAGTTAACGTTCGTTTTCATCCAGGTTGTAAGAGGTTTGTTAGTTATTGTTTTGTGTATTTTTCTTGTTGCTGGATATAAACTGCATGTATTTTTCAAACAATCGAGTTGGAAGTGCGTTCAAGGAATTGACCACCTGTTGCCACACACGGCCTTTCTTGAAATATTTTGGTTTGGATGTTAGAAGGCCGTGACATTTAAGTCAAAAAAATCATGTGGACCCACTTGTAAATCAGAAAAGCTTGTAAGATAAGATGGACGTGGATGATTGAAACTTCATGGAATGGACTTGGAGAAGACGCACACAGTTTGAGAGTAACTGCAACACTTTGTTGGACTGAGCAGAGACACTGAGCTGCAATATGAAATGTTGGTACTGGACAATGTTGCATCTACTGAAACACATTTTGTGTTGGAAATGGAGGAACAGAAAGAAATGGAAACAAGAACTTTTTAATTTAATTGAAAGGTGCAGAGCCAAACTGCGTTCTGACAAGAAAAAGAAATGACATTCATGCTCTGATGCTGGAGAATCACAAGCCTCCATAGATGAGCACATGAAAACGTTTCATAATTATTCAGCAGAGTTTATGGACTTACATTGTTCAGTTCAAAGACTGCTGCACGATGATGACAAGGAGACTGATCACAGTGACTGGTATGAACCGCAGCCGATCAGCTTTAAAGAGTTTTTGGATGAAATTGAAACTAGGATGAATGGTGACCCTGATGCACAGAAGGATGAAGTATCTTCAGCATGTGACACTGAATCAAAGCACCTCATGACCGGATGATGGTGTCTCACAGACGGTACAAGAAAAGATCATCAAGGTTTCTGAAAGATTATCTGGGACCACAGCTAAACCACTCAGCAAGGTCAGTGCGCACTAGAAACTTTACTAACATTACTGGGTGCTTTACTGGAGTAAAAGCTCCCGTGCAGCTTCAATGGTGCTGATGGAAGCCGAGGTGGAAAGAGCCGCTCTGAAAGCAGAGGTGGACGCGCTGCAAGAAAAACATGCACTTGAACTGGAAGAAGTTCAGTTAAAAGCAAGGAAGAAGCATTGGCTTTAAGAACTAAGTTGTAAAAATGCAAATTTACACTCTACCCAAAGACAGAGAACATGCAGGACAGGCTTTATTATTGAGAGCAGTTTACCACAGGACAGCCTAGAACCTTGGTTAGAAGTTGTATGCACATGAGTCCACGAACTGCTTCTGTGGAAGCAGAAAGACAGCTTGAGTGGAACAGAGCAAAAATAACATCTGCATTTATAGATCAGGCTCCGAACTGGTCACTTTTAAAGTGTGATGATGCTGCAGCTTTAAGAGCTTATACGTTGTTTTTAAGAAGCTGCTTCAACGCAATGGATGAAGCTGGGTTTATTGCCGAGCTTCAAAACTCAACCAATATGAGGATTCTTGTTTCAAAGTTGTCTTTTAGACTTCGTGATAAATGGTGAATAATTGTGGTTGACAGCAGAGACGTACGATCGTAGAGCAAAGTTTAAAGATCTTCTTGATTTTCTGGAAAAACAAACAAGAGCTGATTTAGATCCTGTTTTTGGGGAGAGTCAAAATCCCAAAGAAAAGATTACTTTAAAACCATCAAAAGTTCCTTTTAAAACTAAAAGCAGGAGTTTTGCTGCTTCTGTTGCTGTAGTTTCTAAACAGAACGATGACAAACAGGAACAGGAAACAGGTTCGGTTTAGCCGTGAAGATAAAAAGGTGGTTCAGACTCGGTGCTTGTTTTGTAACAGAAAGTTTCTTTGGAGAAATGTGACTCATTCCAGCAGAAACCCAACAAAGAAAAGGTGACATTTCTTAAAACTAACGGTTTATGCTTTGGCTGCTTGCAGAAGGGACACATGAGTAAGGATTGTCCACAGCGTTTGACATGCCTGACCTGTAATAAAAGTCAGAGAACCAAAAGAACATTGAACCAAAAGAACACCAGTGGCAAGCAATTAAGGCTGGATGTAAAGAATCACCAGTCTCAAATGCTCTTGTATCTTTGAATCTTGGTAGCTATACTGGGGCCGGGTCTGATAAGTGTGCTCGGTCAGTTGTTCCAGTAAAGTTGGAAAAGGGAACAAAGGTTGTGGAGACGTATGCCTTTCTAGATCCAGGCAGCTCTGCAACATTTTGTACTGAGGCTTTGATGATGCAGTTAAATGCATCTGGAAAGAAAGTGGTCATGCTAAAAAACATAGGTCAGGAAAGGCCTGTAAGTAGCTATAGACTCTCTGGTTTGGAAGTAGCTGCTTTAAAACAAAATGAGTTTTTAAGGTTGCCTGACATGTATACTCAAAAATCCATTCCTGTCACTAAAGAAAACATCCCTAAACAGGAAGACTTAAGAAAAAGGTCTTACTTAAAAGCTGTTGAGTTGACACCAATGACACCACTACAGCCCCAAATCTCAAGTGAGTTGAAAAGGATGTTCTGTGGACGCATTCTCATCTACCTGCCAGCTGTGCTCAAGTGCCTGACCACTGAGATCCTGGAACTAGCAGCAAACACGGCTCATGACAGCAGAAGGACAGGATCGTCCCTCGATACATACAGTTGGCTGTCCGCAGTGACGAGGAGCTCAGCAGACTGCTGGGAGGAGTGGCCATCGCTCTGGGAGGAGTTCTGCCCAGCATTCATGTGGTCCTATAGCCCGGGGGAACCGAGAGGCAAGCCGAGTCTGGGTGGACGGATCGGACGGCATCTGCAGCCAGTTTCTTAGGATCCACTGTGGGATGGACCTTTACAAGAGATCCTTCCTGTCTACAGCATCAGCATCTATAACATCTCTTAATGAAATGAGGATAACGAGTTACAACAACAAATAATTTCCCTTTGGGATTAATAAAGTATTTTTGAAATGAAATGAATTGAATTGAATGCTGGTCAGTCAGTATAATGAAGACTTTGTAGAGCACCAGTGTAATGAGCATGCTGAAATGTCTGTAGAAGATGAACAGTTCATAGACATCATGTCAAAGTCAGCTGTGCTTAAAGATGTCACTATTACCTGAAATTACCTTTTTCTAATCCTGCAGTAAAAAACAGGCAGCCCAGCAGAGGGCGCAGTGTCTGTTAAAACGATTTCATAAGGATCAGCTATTCTTTGAAGAATACAAAGATTTATGCACAACGTTGGGGTGGAAGGGC